GAAAGAAAGAAAGAAAGAAAGAAAGAAAGAAAGAAAGAAAGAATCAGCAGCAGCCCAGTGACAGCCCAGTGAATTGAGCTTTGCAGTGGAAGTCTGTATAACTTTAAAAGAAACTGCCAGCCTTTCGCTTGGACATGCACCCTCTTTTTTTTTTTAAAGAAGCAGATAACCACAGTTGTAATTTGAGAACTAGTTGCAACTCCATTTTTTCAGCACTGTTATAACTTTGAACAATTGCAGGACAAATGGATGTTAAGCGCAGGCTACTTGTAGTAACATAATTTGTAAGGCTACACACCTCTTCAGATTCAGTGGTACAAAAGTGTTTCAGCATGGGGAGGGGGGGGCAAATAAATGCTTCACCTGCAACCCTAGAAAAAGGAAAAGCTGCTTTAAGAAGTTGCAGACAGGCACCACGTTTCCATCTCCTATACGTCAAAGCATCTTTTTCACCCTTGAATTTGAAACACTGCTTAGCCCTAATAGACTGGTTAGACAGATTGAAATAAATAAGTTGTCTTTTGGTAAATCTGATCTCTGATCTAGTTTGATTGCAGTTTTGTAATAACTCAGGCTTCCAGCCAGACCGCTTCACAGCTTTAAACAGGAACTGCTGCAGACTGAATAGGAATCTTGTGTGCTCAAAGCATATGAAGCAATATAGTGGGGTTTGCTCCGGATCTCTTTATATTAAAAATGTTTTCCTGCAGTGTTTCAATTACCTCAGCATGTCAAAGTTATGTTGCATGCAATGCATGGGGCCAGAGCTACGAATAAGTATGACTGCCCATTCTCTGTCCCCTTTCTTCCTTTTACTTTCTGAAGCTCTTTTTTTTCGAAACAGCAGAAAGAGAGATTTTTCTAGAGATCTGAGCTGATCCCTTGCATAGGCCTTTTGAAATTGGATTGGAGATCTTGAGTATCGAAAGCTGCAGGTAGTCGTTCCCTACCTAGATTAATCTACTGGAGTTGGGGGGAGGGGGGAATGAAGTCCTTGCAGAGGGAGAATGAAAAACAATTGCTTTAGTAAATGCATGGTTATTACTTGCATTTTACTACTCATTATCTCTGTAATCAAATTCTCAAATGTTAATCCCAGGTTTTAGTCAACGTCACTTAAAGGATGGTGGTATTCTTCATTCTTAGTGAGATATTATGGCAAAGGGGGCTTTACTGTCAGTTGTAATGGCCTGCAATATAAGCAGAAGCATTGTGCAGCATGTTCCAGTCAAATGATAGTGTTGTGTGATTTCCTTAGTTATATTGAACTTCAGCTGCTGGTTTGAAAGAAGCAAGGTGAGTTTTTAGCTCAAATGCTACCACCCAGCTAAAGAAGTTACAGAAATAGCTCTCAAAAAGCCTTCATTATTAAATGTCAGAGGAGATCAGATGATAATCCCTGACTGCTTTAAAGCCTCATCAAGGTTAACCATTCTCAAATTGCACAAGTAAAGGTTGCTTTCCCTTTGATCCCTTCTAGGTCTATTTTACTTTGCTTTCAATTTTGCGGGCTTAATATTAAAAAAAAAACTATATATATTTTTTCCACTCAAGGTTTGTGACTTTGAGTATCCTTGAAAATTTATTGGTAACATACAGTTAATTGTTTTTATTTTTTTTTGTTAAAGGTTGATCCAATGTGAAAATGAGATTGGCAAACTCATGTTTTTGACAGAGATCCCAGAACTGTTACTGGAGGAACATAGTGAATCCAAACAGAGTCATGTTCTGCAGGAAGCATCAGAGCCACAGTTTGTAGATGGAAGCCCAGGACTTAAGTCTGTGCTCTCTACAAGTCGAAACCTCAGCAGCAACGCTGATACAGGAGATAAGCCAATGGTGACATTCAAAGAAAACATTAAACCACGAGAAATAAACAGAGAGCAAAGCCGAAACTATCTGACCAAGGAAGTAGGAAGGGAAAGACGAGATTATAACAAAGGAATAACAGCCAATAAAAATGATGGAAAGAAGGACAACAACAAAAGGAAGAATGACATTAAGAAATGTGGCATGGAGAAGAGTCAAGAAACAGGGAAGCAGAATGTAGCAGTACAGGTAAGAGCCTCAATATGTTATTATTCCTCTGAATGTTTTCATGCTGCCGCCTAATTTAGTTGCAATGTTATAAAGTTGTCTGAAGCGGCTTTTAAGCTTTTGGATAATGTGGCATAGTGAAACAGCTGTGAGAGACAGCTGAAGCTTCCATATCTTCACTTCGATTCCTCTTCCATACCTTAATTTTCCTTACCAGAGGATCTAATGAAATAGTGGCTTATGTTTCTCTTTTTCATTGCATATCTATTTTCTTAGTTTCCTTTCCTTTCCCTCCTTTACTCTGTCCATCCATTAGTTGTTCTCTTCTTGGGTACCTTTCTTTGGAGTCTTATGACTCATCTTCCTAATTAGTGTATGTCCAATTTACTCTGTACTTAGTAGAGTGGGACTCAGTCACTTCATTCATTCATTCAGTCAGTCAGTCAGTCATTCATCATTCATTCAGTCATTCAGTCATTCATTCAATTGATTTGTGGCTGCCTTCTTATTCAAGAGTTCAAGATAACATACACAGCACTCTCCCTGTTAGCAACAGCCCTGTGATGTAGGTAGGCTGAGAAAGAGTGAGTGACTCACCCTAGGTCACACTTTGAATTTCAGGCTGGACTTGAACCTCAAAACTCTCCAATGCTAGTGCCATCTCTTAATGACTACATGACACTATCATTTAATCACATGGCTTAAATAAGCTTAATCCATTGTGTTTTCTGAAATTAAGCTTTCTAATTTTAAAGTGCAAGAGTTATTTGCTAGCGTTCAATATAATATTATAGCAAATGCTTGCCAATTTCTGGTAATTGGGAACTGCTCTAAGTGAAAATGATTTGGGATACAGGTCGTTCTAGCATTTTATAAAATGAATTCAGGACAAAGATCTTGATAAGGTTTAAGAAAGTTCTGTATTAGTACACAATTCAGTGGAGGCAGATTGTACCTGATAAATTTTCTAAACATGCTATTTTGCAATTGTTCAAATTGGCTCAGGGATGCATTTTGTTGTTGTTGAACTACAGTTCTTTCAAGAGCTTTTCCTTATAAGTTGTTGCTTCTAAATAAAGTATAAAGTTACCTCACGATGGGTATTATTTATTGTGCTTTCTTTTTCCTCTAAATTTCAGCTTTTTTTCAGTACATAGGTTTATTGATGTATTCATTTTTTCTGGAATAAGTGAGCTAGTTTGGATGTATGTATTTTTAAGATCTTCATCTTTTCTTCGTCTTCATCTTTTCTGCAAAAAAAGTCCAGCACATCTATGGTATATGAATTGCTGTAACTTTGAGGTTGCAACTGAAATTGAATAAAATGAAACTGACATTGATATAAAGAAATGAGGACCAGGCTCTAATTTCATTAATACCTACATCTTAAACTCTTGTACCTGCAAAAGCCGTGGTAGTTTGGAAACAGGGCTTCTAGATAGAGATATCTAGCGTCATAAGTCCAGTAGCTGGATAAGTATTAAAATACTTCTTAAAAAATCTGAAATAATGTTTTTAATCAATGTTTGTGTTTTAATATTCCAATGTGCATTCAGAATCCCTGGCCCAACTGCTGGGAGTTCTTAACCAGCCCCTCTATTAGGTTTCTTTTGAAGCTGAAACTCTTTGAGTTCCACCTAGAAAATATGAAGCCAAAGACAGGTTAGCTACCTCCTCTAGTCCAGTGTGTGGAGATAATGGCTTCCCCAAATTCCAGACATGATCTTCAGTCTGAGCTCTTTTCTACACCTTGTGAGCCAGAAGAAAATAGCACATGATCAGTCTAAAATGCTCTGAGAATTGCAAATGTGGAGCTGGCCACATTCTTTGTTCCTGTAAAACAAATCCCTGGAAAGAATTGATATGTCTTATACTAACTTTTTAATTATTACATTCTTAAGAAGTCACGGACAAATGAACAAGGTCAAATATTTAGAATTATTGCTTTTACTGATTTATCCCTTTAGGTAAAATCCCAGACTGAGTTGAGGAAGACTCCAGTGTCTGAAGTCAGAAAAACACCAGTAACTCAATCTCCAAACCAGGCCAGCAACTCCCAGTTCATCCCCATACATCACCCAGGAGCTTTCCCTCCTCTTCCCAGCAGGCCAGGTAAAAATGCTATTCCTCTAAACTAATCTTGGCTTGGTATAAACTGATGGAACAGACAAGCAATGTCTTCTATACAATTACCTCTCTTAATGTAAAGGGGAAAGGGGCAAAAGGGAGAGAATGAATGTATGTGTATAAGTGTGATTAAGTAAATGGATTGTTCAATGGAAGGTTCACATTATTTCTAGAAAGCAGGCATAATCATTACATGTGTAATTTTACATGATATTTACCAGGCATCAGTCTTTCCAGTGTCTTTTTTGCCAAGATGCAGCATGAGAAGCCATCTTGCTTTTATTTCTCTGTGTGTGTGCGTGCGTGCGCCCATACGGTGTATGTGACAAGGAAGAAAACTTACAGATCTTTTCAAACATAAATTTAGATTTTGAAGTAGAAAACATAATAAATGCAAGGCAGCCCTGTACTGCTCGGACTAATTTATTTGTGTATAACATTTCTTAAGGAAGCCTAAAGCCCTCTGAAAGTCACAGTGAAGCATCCCCTAGGAAGTTAGAGCTTTCCTAGAGTTTTCCTCCAGCAAAGTGAGAGTAGGCTTACCGGCACAAACTTCTGCCTACAAATATTTCTTCAGCACAGAAGAATGAACTGAATTAATCCATTCCTGTAATTGAATGCTGACAGATAGGAGACCTTTGTTTTCCGAAGATTCTCTTTAGCTACTAGGATCAGAGAGGTAAAGAAAGGACCCATCGTAATCTGTCTCAGTGGTTAATCTAGAAGAGGAGGCAGGCATTATTATCTGAGGTTTCAGTTATTAAAAGGTGTGCTTTCTTCCTTTCAAGGCTTCCCACCTCCTGCCTACGTTATTCCTCCTCCTGTGGCTTTCTCTATGAGCTCAGGATATACTTTCCCAGGTGGTGTTTCTGTCCCAGGAACCTTTCTTCAGCCTGCAGCTCATTCGCCTGCAGGAAATCAGGTGCAAGCTGGGAAGCAATCCCACATTCCTTACAGCCAGCAGCGGCCCTCTGGACCAGGCCCAATGAACCAGGGACCTCAACAGACTCCATCCCCTTCTCAGCAGACCCTTGCATCCTTACCAGCTCAGGCAACAACCCCATCGGCAAGCCAGCTACAGGTCCAGGCTCTCGCCCAGCAGCAGCAGCAACAGCAGCAGCAGCAGTCCCCAACAAAAGCTGTGCAGGCATTAGGGAAGAGTCCTCCACACCACTCTGGATTCCAGCAGGTGAGCCTCTGCTAATTTTGAGAGAGGAGAGAGGGTTAGAGCTCCAAACCTTTTGTACTCAAGTAATGCAAAGACTCCAACATAGATTGCAATGCTGGCCTTTCTGTAAATATTATAATGGCAAGTACAACCACTAAAGCTGAAAAGGAATTTACAAGTCAATGGGAAAGAGACAGACAAAATATGGTGAATAAGCTAGGAATGTAGTTGAAGGCCAAGAAAAGAACAATATCAGAATGAACATTTATTAATGATCAAATCTCTCTTTTTTAGGTGAGAGGACTCAAAATAGTCCAGATTATATTTGATAATACTGCTTCTTCTCAAGTATGGCATGACTAGCCTTATACATGATAAATTGGTATTATTGAAAAATCGATTAAACATAATTGAAGGATTACAACTTAATATGCACTTTGTGCTTGCAGAGCTGCAACATTGTGTCTTGATTGAAAGATGAGAAATTATTAATGGATGAATCTTAATGTCAAAATACTAGTCTTGTCGTTTGTCTCTGCTAAAAGGTTTCTTTAGCTTTTCTCGGCTTGTGAGCTCTGAAAACTTTAATCTCAAAAAGAAACTGTAAACTTTGGAAGTTTGCTTTGTAGAATTGAATGTGCAGTTCTGCCTAACATGCTCAGCATTGAAAATATTTTTGTAATAAGGTAATACATTCAGTGTACAGCGTATGCTCAGAGAAGAGAAAAAGGGTTTTTTGTTATCCTGTAATGCTTGAGTTTTCAACCCTGTTATTTAATTCTAAGTCAGAGCATACTTGACATCCATATCACATTCAGTTTGTTCTATGGTTCTTTGCTGGATCCTAAAACCAATCTCTTATCCCGAGAGTGTGTATTACTGATAATACTGAATGCTGGTGTGTTTATTCTTAGTATCCCCAGGGAGACTCCTCCAAGCAGCTCTGGAACCCCTCTCAGGTCCAAGGCCCATTGGGGAAGATCATGCCTGTGAAGCAGCCGTACTATCTTCAGGGCCAGGATCCCGTGAAACTCTTTGAACACTCCTTGCAGCCTCCCCTTCTGCAACAACAGCAGCCTCTGGAGAAGAAAATGAAGCCTTTCCCTATGGAGCCATATAACCAGAATCCCTCAGAGGTCAAGATGCCAGAATTTTATTGGGACTCCTATGGTATGGCTGATAACCGGGTTGTGATGGCACAACAACAAGCCAACCTGGACCGCAGAGGGAAACGTCAGCAAGGAGTCTTCCGCCCAGAGCAGGACCCAATGCCGAGGATGGGTTTTGAGGTAAACTTAAGAGTTCACTACAGAATATAGGCAGTAGTTTCACAAAACGGACAGTTTCTGGTGATTTACCAGAGTGGTGTGTAGGCCAGTCATGTCTTCCTATAGTGTTTTGCTTGGGTGAATCTGTGTTTCTGGCTCAATGGTTCCACAGTTCTACTGTTCTTATAAAGAGTTAACTGGCAGTGTGTTCATGAAACCAGAATACACCCAGGTTGTTTTGTTTTAAGCTCAGAACAAAATAATCCCACTTAGAACACCTCACTGGAATATTTCAGGCATGCTGTGTTCCAGTGGAGCAAACAGAACGTTTCTTGTATTTTGTTGTTCATAATTGTTCCTTTGCATGAAAGCACAATACATAACAAAATCAAAACCCAATCAGGATAACTTCAGAACAATCCAATAAAATCAGCTCAGAATTCAAACAAATATTTATATTAAAATAACCAACACAACAGTACCCTTAAAACAATGCTTAGGTAGGGTAGGATAGTGTATGTATGTAATGTATGTGGGAATGATGTTTGGAAACGGTGAAGAAACACAGCCAAGGGAACAGTCAGATAAAAGGTAACATAGCCCCACGTAGAAATTTGGGTGGGACCAGTGGGTCAGAAGAGATCCTCCCTAGTTTCTTGGCTGTAAAAGGACGGGTAGTCCTCAACTTATGACCACAATTGAGTCCAAACTTTCTGTTGTTAAGTGAGTTTTGCCCCATTTTATGACCTTTCTTGCCACAACCATTAAGTGAATCATTGCAGTTGATAAGCGAGTCACACAGTTGTTAAGTGAACCCGGCTTCCCCGTTGATTTTGCTTGTCAGAAGGTTGCAAAAGGGGGTCACGGGACCGTGGGACCCAGCAATGGTCATAAGTATGAACCAGTGAATCACACGAGCATGGGGCACTACAAAGGTCCTAAGTATGAAAAGCAGTCATAAGTCACTTTTTTTCAGTGCCATTGTAACTTTGAACAGTCACTAAATGAACTGTTGCAAATCGAAGACTACCTGGATATGTTAATCTGTCCACTAAATAAAAGTGGGATGGAACAAGGAGACGACGAGAGTTGAATGGAATCCTTTCGGCAATTTGGAGATTATAATCCTAGACTGAATATCCTAAAGAAGGCTTTGCTGAACGAATGTAAAAAACAGTCAGGGTTTTATTGAGGAATAAGGCCAGACAGATAGTGAAGGGTTTTGTGACGAAAGGATCCTAAATAGGGGCACCAGTAGTTTATGCTGGACTCTGGTTTATGTGCCCAGGAGAGCTTACCAATTATCAGTCAGCAAACAAGAAACACCAATAGCTTTACTTCTGCATGGTCTACCTACAACAGCAAAAATACACTTTCGTGCTGTTACTTTGTGACTTTTCCTAAATACACTTGCATGCGTTTATACATTTGGCAACAGTTCTCTGAAAGTCATACATTAGTATCTAGCTGTTACACAGTTTCACCTTTAATAAGCAGTGTTATACAAAGAAGAGAAAGGGAGTACAATAAAGTAAGACACACTATTTTTTCCACTGCCTTTTGTTCTTTAAACTTCACTTGTTTTTGAAGATCTTATCCATTCTATCCAGCCACAGACTCATGATTTTTCCCTTCCTTTTGACCGATTCGCTTTTCATATATTTGTTCTGTGATTCTGTCCTCATTCATTCTCCCTGTCACCAGGCCAGTTCAATTTGCTTCTTTCTACTGGACTTTTACTTTTTGTATTCAACACTCATTAATTTAATGCCCATTTAGACAACACTCTCCCACACTTAAGTAATCTGCACCCACTACATTCAATGTTGATGTTCCTGCTGACATACCCAACTCTTACTTTCATAGAAAAAAGTGGACAGAAGAAGCACTATGAGCCATTTCTGCTTCTTTTCGATAAACATTAATTGTTTTTGACAGATACCTGCTGAGATGGGTAGCTATAGAAATTAAATAAATAAATACTTAGTAGCTGCCTACTTGCATTTACATGCCATGACATTTCTTCATCCATTCTCACATCTCACACGTAGTACCCATAAATCAGTTTATTGCTCTAGTTTTTTTTGCCATTTAAGTATAACTTAACATTTTTCATTCTTTTTTTTCCTGTCAAATTTGAACATTTGCTACATTAACATTCAGATCTACACTCCTCAATTCTCAGCAAGTCATTAGTGTTCTCTTCTAACAGCATTGCATTCTCTGCATTCAAAAGTACATGTGTATCCACATCCTTAACTCACATACTTCTGATGGCGCATTTCTTCTACATTTATATCCATAAGTGCATTAAATAACCAAGGGGATGCCACACGTTTTTCTTCTTGATCCCTGCTCAGTGTTGAACCATGCTCATGAATGCTTTACTTTAATCTTACACAGCTCTTATCACATTCAGCATCCAATCTGCAACTCTGCATGTGCCAAACATTTCATAACTCAGACTTCTTCACTTCATGATATACGCTTTGTAAATCAAAATACAGAAAAGCATCTTTCTTATATTTTTTCAGAGAAATGCACTGCAAAGCTAAACAAATAAAAGAATAAACACTGAAGATTCAACTTTGCAGGGTTGTATGCAGTGTACAGACACATTAAACAGCTATCTGTATGCTTGTCCATCTGTTTTAACAACTTGCCTGAAATAGATAAACAATAATGAAGTGATGATATAAATGTGGAGGAAGCAAAGGTTGCAAATTATCAAGAGACAAGGTGATATAAAGTAGTGTTATCTGTATTTTTTCCTCTTACATTTCTTTCACTTTTCCCATACTTTTTGATACTCTGGGTAATATTGAATATGCCTCAAGGGAATTGAGTGATTGCTATATGTGTGGAAGAAAATGTATAACATATTGCATTGTATAACCCATTAATCTAATTTCCCCATAGCAAAGATTTAACAAAATGATGGCCAACTTTTCTGCCAAACAGCAGCAGCATGTGATAAACTGACTTTCCTCTCCTTCCCCTTCATTAGGACCAGCCAATAGCTGCAGGGATGGTACTTTGCCTGTTGTCTTAGTGGCTGATGGAGAATACTTAGTATTGATAGGACTACAGAACTTCCTGCCAGTTCCAATAATTTTGGGGGAAGGCAGGCAGAACAAAAGCTCCATTCATTTTATTGAACAGAATAATAAATGTGAGAATTGGAAAGCAACTTACTGCAGTTACCTGAATAAGGGATACAGGTCATACAATGGTTTAGGCAGGCTTTGCTTCACTTCCCTCTTTCCCCAGCATCTTTTGCCATATGTATACATTGCAATATATAAAGAAATAATTAGCAACATCATAAGATACTGATTGCTTGTAGTATAATGTTGATATCCAACGTAAGGTTTTTAAAACTTAAAATGTCACAAGAGAAGAGGAGTGGATCATTATCTGGTGGCAAATTCTAAAGTCCAAGTTGGGCATGGATTTCTTCCAAGACTTTCCAGTTAAAATGTAATTTATTTATTCTCATTTGTCATTCTAAGATTGTATAAATCAATATTTGAATAGTTGGATACTCCCTAAATATAGAGAAAGCAAACACAAATCTCTTTTCTGTCAGTTGTTCCTTTACTTCATCAGGGAAATTTTAGGTAGAAACCCCCAAATGAATCTAAATATGTTTAGCAGATCTAAATCTCTGAAAAATACGTAGATATAACCAGTTAAGAGTTATTTTGAAAATTTTGGATAAAAGTTCATACTGCCTTGTCTGCATTTCCACATTAGCAGGGTAGAGTTGCTTAAAACCAAGGAAACAAGATTGGCTAATCCCCCTGCCTTTATTTATTTATTTGTTTGTTTATCAGTCTGTCAGTCAATCACCAAAAGCAACTCTGGATGGTGCATAACAATCTAAATAAATAAATAAATAAATAAATAAATAAATAAATAAATAAATAACAAAAATATAAAAATCCATATTAATAATTATCATTAAATTGAAAAATACAAACATGGGAGAAGGATAAAAATGGCCGCCTCTACAAAGGAACCATCTGAGCAAGTCTCTGGGATCCTCAGGACTGGCAACATAGCTTTGTCTTGAGGACTTATCAAAAGGGATGGAACTAATCTAATCTCAGGGGGCTATTATTGAAAACAATGTGTGCAGGAAAATAATCAAGGCACAAAATCACTTCTAAAAAAAGTAATTAACTGCAGCAGTCCATCAAAGTCATAAGACAACATTCCTAAATGTATGCCTATGTTTTTCCTGACAAAGATATCTACACAAGTGTACAGATGGTAGCCCTGGTAAGAGATAAAGCTAATACTGTTCAATCTCCTTACTCCTATATAATATCACCTTTTTAAAAATAAAAGCAAGGAGCCAATTGCTTCCTGTTAGTAGTTGCAAATATGTTAAAGATATGTAATTTTTTTTGACCTTCCCGTGAGAGTTTGCTAGAAATATTATAAAAGAATATCATAAAGCTCTGTAATATTTTGTTTCATATTTACTTCTGTATATTTAGATTAATTTCAATAACCTTAAGGCTTGATTTTTTTCCAACTGTAACAGTTTTGAAGTATTCGTGCTAGGGTACTATATATTTCAGTCATGAACTACATTGTTATCATGATCAGGTGAAAAAGGCAGATCATTTTTATAGACCAAGAGGGAAGCTGTGATATTCAAGATCAAAGAAGGACTTTGCTTGGCTCACAAGTAGCATTCTGAAAACTTTCAACAACTTCCAGTGATTTTTTTAAAGTCCAGTTTCTATGTTATAGAAAGGTTTTCAAAATATGAGTGGCATCCCTTAGGAAGTTGCAAGCAACATACAGGGAGCCACAAATATTTATAGCAGTGCATGCAAAGTAGGAATACTCTAAAACTTGTTCTAGCTTTGCCTGGGCAAGCCTACGGTGGATTTGCCTAGAAAAAACAGGGAACAACTTGCCCCAACCACTTTGCTTTGCGTGTGGTCATCGTAAGGACAGTCAAACCTGCTTCCACTTTGAGTGACCTGTAACAGCCCCGTTTTCACTAGCAGAGGGTTGCAGGAGGCTGTGGCAGCCAAAAAATGGGGGTCCATTTTTGCTAGCAGAAGCACCACAGACCAGTCCGCTGTTTCCAGGGCAGCCCCGCAGGCCAGATCTAAATACCCCATGGGGTGAATCTGGCCCCTAGGCCTTGAGTTTGATACCCCTGATCTAGACGTATATACAATATGGTAGATTTCTCAAATTCTAGATCTAGACTCTAGATCTTCCAGGTTTGATCAATAAGGTGGTATAAATATATCTTGCATTATGGGCAAAATTACTGTCTAAACTTTACAGAACTACTAAGATGCTGGATAAATAACAACTTACTTTGCACACATTTGCTAAGTCAGACAGTGGGGACTACATTTTCCTCAAATGTCAGTCCCGATATTTTGTTTATCTATACATTCAAACATGGAGGGAAGGGAAGTGATTCCTAAAGCACAAAACAGTGACAGAAGTTTATATTGCCACTGCTTTTCTCTTTTCTCCCTTGAATCTGGTCTTCCTCTTGTCTTTACCTCTTTGACTAGTTTTTGCATGCTGGCTTACCTATCTTTGCATTCTCTTCCCTTTCTCCTTGCCTTGCCTTTGTTCATACTTGTCTGTTGCTATTCTTACTTCTTTGTCTTTCCATGCTGCATCTCACTGTGCTCCTTTCTGTCACTAGGACCCCAAGAGCTCCCCTCTGCTTCCTCCGGACCTGTTAAAGAGTTTGGCTGCCTTGGAGGAGGAGGAAGAGCTGATTTTCTCTAATCCTCCTGATCTTTACCCAGCACTGCTGGGGCCTCTCGCCTCTCTTCCTGGACGAAGCCTCTTTGTATGTATTTGACTTAATTCTGCTGCTTCTTGCTCTAATTTTGCCCTCCTTTTTTTTTCTCCCTGCAAGGTCAGTTGGAGGTTTGAAATCTATATTCCTTGCTGAAATTGTCTTAATGGGGGAAATGGAGATCTTATAGGAGAAAGCAGCTTTTAAACAGATGTAATGTTCTATCAGGGTTGCTCCTTTCTGGCCCAACACACAATTCTTTGTAAATACTGGAAAAATGGCCATTTTGAACCATACCCCCCCCCCCCCAAATCCTGTTTTCTACAAAAATGGGCCACCTTGACTATTCAATTAGGGGTAATGAAAGTGTGCCAGCCTACTACAACCTACCTGTCCACATTATTGCTCCAGAATTCTTATTCAAGCACAGTGTAAGAAAGCTGCAATCTTACATGATCCAAATTCTGGTTCCTTCTTGGATTGCGGGGAACCTTCTAGTTATGTTTTCCATCTGTGTTAGTAGAAAAGTGAAGATACCTTTACATTCTGTACTGTCAATAAAATAGGCATTACGAGATTAGAACTATGAACTTAAGAAATTAATAAACTACTGTCTGCATGTGGTCCATTGATCTCCTTTTTTAAAGAATACCCAAGCTGTTCCAACATTTATCAGGCAGAGACATACAGTCCTTCAAGTAAGATTGGGATGAAAAATACTCATATTTGTTAATATAATCAATAAGAACTGGTTTAAGCCATATCAGGGTTTCATGCAAATTTCATTAGTCAACCAGATGTGGAACATGAAAATAGCAGCTTTCCCTCTTATCATTCCCAGCTTTTGCTGATAGAAAGTATTTTTCTCTAGTACTGGAAAAGGAGTAACCCTTGGTAGATTCATCTTTCAAAAATCTAATTTGAGAGTATCATAGATTAACATAAAGATCATATGTATTTTAAGTATATGTGACATTTATGTACCTGTATCCTTCCTGGGGTCATGAGTGCAGAAAAGTCCTTAATTAAGGAGATTCTATGTATTTTACCACAAAAGGCAGAGAAATCCTTTGCCTTAATACATGTTCAACCTTAGTGAAAATCCAAAACCTTTCTAATTAAATTCTAATTTCTAATTAAAATGCTACCATTAAGAAAGAGAGATTCTATTGTCATAAAATCACTAGGATTTCTTCCTTCCTGTTAATTATATATTTACCTAGGATGCTTGATGGGAAGGTAAGAAAAGTGAAGCCCTGTAAATTTTAGATCCTAGAGGTTGAATTTCTATATGATCATTTCACATATATACATATGAAATATATCTTTATTTATATACAACAACTGCCCTGTGGAATTGGCTAAAAACTACTTCCCTTAAAATAGTGGCCCAGCTACATGGAACTGTTTATGTCAACATCAGAGATGCATGGTTAGGTGAGAAGCTGCAAAGAGAACTCAAGAGCATCAGTCTATTACACAAAGCATAGTTAATAAGTTTTATAGTTCAGCTTTGTAGGATCTTGATTATCTTGTATAAATTTATTTTCAGTGACAGGTCTTTAGAAATGCCACTGTTTCTCAGAAACAGTTTCTACTTTGTAAACACAGTAACTGGGCATATTTCTTGAATGGAAGGTTATTAAAGATCTAAATATTTAGAAATATGTCTTGGATCCCTTGACAAATGAAGGAATTCCTTTCATTATCATCGGAAGTTTGGTTCCACGGGAGCCTCCTTGCTGAACAGGAGAATAGGAACAGGAAGGAAGAGATGCCGTTTCTTGTTTTCCTTTGCAAATCCCAATAATGTATTACGTTAAAAAATCTTCTAGTATTCCAGAACAGATTCTTTTTGCTAAAGGAGGCTGCAAAGAGAAGGGAATTGGTTAAAATTTCAGGAAAGTCATTGAGTTTATGGAGTTGCAGTTCTGGATTGAGTTTGCTGATTTTGTGTGTGTGTGTGTGTGTGTGTGTGTGTGTGTGTAATCCCTGCAATGTTGAGGATTTTTTTAAACTTTAGCAGAATATTTTTGTCAGTAATTCTTTTAGACTGAATGCTACTCTTGCTCATCTCCCCAGTATCATTTGAGATTAATGATTTGAATTATGCAGCTGGCATTGATTACATCCCTTCCAATCAAATCCTAATAATATGTCAGGGCAGGGCCTCCATTATAAGAGAGTTGAAGGTATGTATGTGGCTTTTTATCTGCAGATATGTGTCCAACTGACATCAATTAAAACCAAACTATGATACGAAGCCTGAGCTCATCCACTTATCTTTTTTTAAAAAAATGGCTTTAAAATTAATTCGTTTCACCAACCAATCAGAAATTTTCACTCCCCCAGATTATGCAAATTAGGCAGTTTTGCATTATTGTTATACAATGTTGTGCAATTTTTTCTGATTTTCTTTTCACAGAGAAAGCCAGCAACTCTATAGGATTTCCCTCATACTTCCATGCTTTCCTCTGGAGATAAATTATATAGGATCTTGTTTCTGCTGTATGAAATTGGAATTTCTAATGAAACTGTAGTCTTCATTCAAATGATATTCCTCTTTTTTTTTCTACATCCAAGAACAGGCTTGGAAAGCAGATACAGCTCTGCATATTAGTCAGTTTTAATTGTTTTAATCAGATTGTATTTAACACGATATCTTCACTTTGGCTAATATTAATTTATTAATTTCATTAACAAGTTATTTGCAACATCAGTATTTTTTTAAAAAAATAAAATCTTAAATACTACTAGGATTATGGTTATGGAAATACTAATTCAGATATTAAGCCTTCATATTTGAGCAGAGACTGATTAGTTTGTATATGTCATACATTCATACCAAAAGAATAATTTGATGAATTGCAATTTTAGGGCTCTTCAACCACATGAGGTGTTAAAACCTCTTGTTTTAGTATGAAATTTCCCAAATCAATTGTCATTTTTGAGAGCTACATATGCAACTGACTGCACTATTTGCAATTATTTGCAATTTAATCAAATTATTTGTATTTATTTTAAGTGCCTCTATGATAAAGTAAAGGAAGTAATACAATACAAGGATCTTTAATATGATTCTTGTTCTCATGCATGCTCTATGAACCCCCAGGACACTTTTCACTCTGTTATTTTTATATTAGCTGACTTGCAAGTCAATGACAAGCTTTATTGCTCTCTTTCCTTTATCCTGAAGAAATCATTGTTGGAGAAACCATCAGATCTGATGTCACAGTCGCCATCTTTCCTATCGCTCACAGGCTTCTCTCTTAATCAGGTAACTAATAACTTTCTCTTTTTTTTCCTTCTAGACAGCTTTGTCACTTTGTTAGGAGCATGTGTGGCTTTGAAGAAATAGCTTAGCAGAGCTTTGAAAAAAGCACCAGGTCCAAGCTGCTTTGAAAGCAATAGAGATCCTTTTGCTTCTGAGACCAGGAGCTGGACTAGCCAGTGCCAGAGAGATGCAGTCAAGCAGCATGATCAGTTCCCTTCTTCAGGATCCATTGCCCACAATATTTACTCAGGCAGGTGGCAATTAATACTTAGGTTGATTCTATGCCCATATGCGGGAAGGCTTCCAGATGGGCTGGCTTCAATAAGTGTCTAATAGACAATGCAGCAAAGTTAGCCCATCTGGAGTCTCTTCAATAAGTGGGCTTCCAGGCTGCTTCCTGCTGTGGACAATCCTGCGGTGCTTACTAAAGCTACCCAAGTTGAAAGACCTTGAGAGCAAGCATAGGAGCTACAGGCTGGTTGAATTCAGCCAGTGCTGTGAGAATAGACTTATAGAGCAGTGGTTGCCAACCAGTGGGCCGTGGACCACTAGTGGTCTGTAAGAAAACTTTGGTGGTCCGCAGAGAAATGTCACCCCCAAAGCACCCCGCTAAGAAATTAATCCAGGCTGCGTGAGAACACAAGGCTGTGCCGTCCACATGGCCCGTGGGAACACAAGCTTGCGTCACTTGCATTGCGAACAACATGAGGTAGTGAAGGGAGGAGGGGAAACATGCCCCACGCGCCTGGCCTGGCCACCGGGCTGCTTCTTTCTTCTTCTGCTTTTGTCTGCATGCAAGGAAAGCAGCAAAAGTCTTTTTTCTCTCCCCCAAACTCTGCCAGAAATGAGTCTTTGGGACCTTGCAAGGCATCCTGCTCCAAGAAGCTGTGCCGGTGCGACAAGTCTTACAAAGACTCATTTCTGGCAGAGTTTGGGGAAGAGAAAGAAAGACTTCTGCTGCTTCTGCTGCTTTCCTTGCATGAAGCCAAAAGTCTCTCTATCTCCTCCTGAGAACAGTATCCTGCAATCCCAAATAAAGAATGATTGATCGGTAGGAAAACGGGGTGGGGAATTTTCCTGCAGACTTTTTTGGGGATTCTCCAGGACCCTGGGAAAATCCAAAAAAGGGCCAGTCTTGTGACTACTGCAGCTCTGGAATATGGGACCGACTTTCCCACCAATGTCAGCAAGCCACCATCAGTCAAAATTCATATTAGTGGTCTGCGGGATTTAAAATTATGAGTTTGGTGGTCTCTGAGGTCCAAAAGGTTGGCAACCCCGTTATAGAGTATGTGTGTATGTATACTTGTTGATGCTACTTACCCTAGAATTTTCTCTTATGTTACTTAGCTATTTATTTATTCATTTAAACAAACAAACAAACATAGATACTTGAACTTATATGCTGGAAGGCTTATACCACATAACAATAAATATTTTTAAAAAAGAAAAATATTACAGCATGCATTCAGACTAAATCTGTATATGTCCCACGAGCAATTGCCTATAATTAAGTAGCATCTTTATCCCAAAGGCTCTGGAATGTGATCAAAAAGAGCCACCATAACCTCCTGGGGTGTAGGCCATTCCAGAGCAGAGGGGCTACTGTATAAGTGCACCTACCATCCCTGTCCTGTTGTCCCCATTTATTCGTACCTATTTCCTGTAATCTTACTCATGTTTATACTTATACCTCTTATCTTGTAAGCGGTCGACAAATCAAATAAATAAATAAATAAACTTCTCCCTGAACACTCTTTATATTAAGTTCTCGGGGGTATGTGGTGCCCAGATTCCTCAAACAGCTTGAAGATGCCCTGCCAATACAAACTTATGTAAAAACTAGGCAGAATGCCATGTGTATTTTGAGGCATGGTAGTGGTGTGTTCAGTTGCCAGATCTAAACAATTCAATACAATATGTGTCGTCAGTCAAACAGAACTAAAGATATGCTACCCTAGCACATTTCATTCTGCTTGCTTACTTACTGATACCAAAAGGAACTGACTGCCCCCCCCTCCAGTTTTAATAACTGTTATCAATAAATGTTTACACATTGATTGTCTGGCATTGCAATCTGATTTGTTAGTTTCAACCTAGTATATAGAATTGTACTGTTACATTGTTCTATTTTTTACTTTTTACTTTTCATTTAAGAGCCAAGAATAGTGCATCGCAGTAAAAGCAGTATTCCTTATAGCTAGGTTATGTCTAATCCCCCATATCATATCATTTAAAATAGATAAATGTAATTTGCAAAAAGACCTCTGGGTTTTAATATGAATTACTGTCTTTCTTAAGCTAAATGGTTTTGGACATCTTTACTATGAACTCTGTAGCAATTTGAAGTACACTTACTTCTATACTTCAGAAATATTGGATAAAAGCAACATTGACATATCCTACTAATACCTGCTGTATTGTACTAATGTATTGAATTGGTCTGGTGTGGCCCCCAAGTTGATCCCTTTTTTATCCGTGTGCTCTTTCTTTCAATTTTATAGGAAAGATATCCAAACAGCATGTTCAATGAAGTTTATGGGAAAAACCTCAATGCCAGCACAAAAGCCGAGGTTACACCATCAGTAGCTCACCAAGAGACTTCACTTTATTCTCTTTTTGAAGGTACTCCATGGTCTCCATCTCTTCCAGCCAGCTCAGGTGAGGCTCCAACATTCCCTTCATCACCTATAGCATATCACCTGAGGATAACGTGTGTACCACTTGCTCAGCATCTCCCTTCCATCACTGTTGTAGGAACATCATAGGATATCAAGATCTATGGACTGCCATTTGTCAGAAATGGTGTAGGGTCTCCCGCTTGGGCGGGGGGGTTGGACTAGATGACCTACAAGGTCCCTTCCAACTCTGATTATCTGTTAAATCTGTTAAGTTTCCTTGGAATTGTTCAGCAAATTTTATACTTCTTTTTCTTTTCTAAGTAAATTTCCTTTCAATGTCTGCACATAACTGCTCATTATATTTCTACATCTGTCAGTACATGTGTATGGTCTGTGTGTGTGTGTGTGAGAGAGAGAGAGATGAAAACCCATTTGCAATCTTTGTGATATTCTACCATATTTGTTTAATAATGAATAAAAGTGAGTACAAAAGTGAGTACATTAATAAAACCAAAATCGTACATAAAATGAAAGAGGTTAAATCAGGAAGATCACCAACTTGACTTTTTTTCTAAATTCCATAGATCATTCAACACCAGCCAGCCAGTCTCCTCACTCCTCCAACCCAAGCAGCTTGCCAAGCTCTCCTCCAACTCACAACCATAATTCGGTTCCATTCTCCAACTTTGGACCCATTGGGACTCCAGACAACAGGGATCGAAGGATAACAGATCGATGGAAGACAGATAAGCCGGGTGAGTGGAAGGTCTTAGCGTCCATTTAATTCCAGTGAGTTTCAGGGACCTTTACCTATTATTACTCTTGCTCTCCTACAGCAATGGGAGGCTTTGGCCTGGACTATCTCCCAGCAACATCATCCTCTTCAGAGAGTAGCTGGCACCCAACCAGCACCCACAGCGGTCCCTGGTCAGCCCATGGCCCATCCATAGAGGATTCGTCAACTGTGCTTATGGAAAGTCTGAAGGTGGGTTGCGTATTGATCCTGTCCTTGTCAGGTTATGCACTAGATAATAGATATGGCAAAATTCTGAAATGTTAATGATGTGTCCTTGGTGATATTTTTCTGAATCTTGCTATTTGGCAATGATATTGTGAACCATTTGTCTGTGATGTACGTACAATTAAGGTGTATCGATAGGTACATCTTATACAGATATATTTAGTTACAGCCACAATTATGACCGCAACTTCCATTGCTAAACAATGTGCTCGTTTAGTGAGTCACCATATGACCGTGCTTGATTTCACAACTTTTTGTTGCTATAATTGTTCAGCAAATCAGGCTTCCCCCGTTGACTTTGCTTGTCAGAAGCCGGCTGGGAAGGTCACAAATGGTGATCACATTAACCCAGCATGCTGCAGCTGCCATAAATACATGCCAGTGGCCAAATGCCCGAATTGTGCTAACATGATTGTGGGGATGCAGCTATGGTTGTAAGTGTGAACGTTTTCCAGCACAGTCATAAATTCTAATGGTTGTGAAACAGATGGTCATAAGCGGAGCACCACCTTATAAGTTTACCTTCAAGTACCCAATATGCTTATCACATTTATCATTTGTATATGGATAAGTTGTGGTGGCAAAGCATTTAAATTCTTACAGATGTATTTTACGATGCTTCAAGGGTAGGTTCAGCCATACTGTGCCAGGAAGAACAGCAAGTCAGAGATAGGAAAATCTAGAGAAGTTAGTGAGGAAATCAGCAGTGCCTTGAGATGTTTTTAGTAATGTCCTTTTTGTGCGTCAGATTCCAACTTCATCTTTATGGGATGTTTGTTTCTTTGCTTAGTCTATCTGGTCCAGTTCTATGATGCATCCTGGACCTTCTGCTCTGGAGCAACTGTTGATGCAGCAGAAGCAAAAGCAGCAACGTGGGCAAGGTGCCATGAATCCACCACACTGAGAACAAAAGAGCTGGCAACCTTTGCAATCGGAAGCTCCATACATCATGGCATGTTGGGTTTACAGGACTGTCCCACACAGTTCTGTGCGCGTGGCAGCCTCTCTTCTGTTCCTTGATGTCAGGAGGGTGTAAGTGCTCCACCAACCCACTGAGTATGCACGAAAATGAATGCAGTGCAATGGAAAACCAACACCAGGAACTCTCCCATCCCACCAGGGCCTTCTGGAGGGAGAGAGGGACTGCTGTTTATCTTCACGGTAACCTGATATCACCGCCTCTCACCTTCTCCATCGTGCATGTGCCCAGCCATGTGGGAAAATAAAAGATGGGAAAGAAGAGCAGATGGGAGAAGCCACTGAGAACTTCTCGATCCTCTTCCTCAGTTTTGGGGAACCTAGTAGGAATCTATTACCTATAGCTTTGCTGACTGAGAATGTAGTTGAAATTTATTCCTCAACGTCTAAATTTCGAATTATTACTGTCTCAGTAGTAAGATCACACTGAATTCTTCCATACACAAACGTGCTTTGTAGTCAGTGTGTAGCACCCCTCGAGTCACCGGTCCAGCCAGCCAGAGTTGGGTAAGTGGTAAATTGACGGGAAGGGCGAGTGTGTCTGGTCTCCTGAGTTAGGTAAGGCGTTTCACGAAGGAGAATTTGGTCCCTCCGGCGTCATTTCCACCTCTTCTTCAAAGGTTGAGTCTGGACTATTGTGAATGGGTGAAGGATTCCAGCAGTACTAAAGTGCAGTGGCCACTGCCAGCCCTCAGTTCAGGGCAATTGGGGTTTTTAAGTTAAGTGGTTCAGATTCCTGTACATTTTACGATAGCGTAGTGACCAGTCTGATGAAATGGCAAAGCTGGCCTGTGCATTCACAGCCTGACTCCTTTATGTAGGTAGGTAGAAGCTTTCTGTGTCTTTCTTCCTTTTTTCTCCCCCCCCCCCCCCCCCCCCCCCCCCCCCTCTTCCTAGCCCCCCCCCCCCCCCACTCTGCTCGGTTGCTTGTAGTTCTGTTCTTCATATGCAGCATCCCACCAAATTCTAGCAGGATCACGGGGAGCCAAGGAATTAGACAGGACAATATAGGCAATCTCCTCTGCCAGTAAGTCTATGTCTGCAGGTTCGCGCACACGTGTAATCGCAGAGTTCCAGCTTCAGAATGGAAGTTCAAGGCAACAAGATCCCTATGAGGGGACCCCCTGCAGAGAAGCCGTCAGTCCACTTGCTCCTATAAGGATGCTGAAACGGGGGGGGGAAAGGTTGAACTTGATATTTATTGAGCAGAAGGAAGGCTGCAACTCTTCTTGCATAGGAAACAAGGACACTTCCCCCCCCCCCTACCCTTTTTTTTTAAAAAAAAATTTTTTTGTTTTTGTTTCCCAGGGTACCTAAGGAAACAGTCTAAATGTTTTAAACCGTTGCAAATGCAGGAGTATGTATGTGTATGTGTATCAGTTCAGGATCTGTGAGCCACAAAAAACAGCTGCAGAGCAAAGCACATCTGGGGTCCACAAGCGACACTGGAGTCGGGGAGCAGCCCCAAATAGACTATATATATAAAAAGAAGAAGCTGAATGAGGTCATGCTCTCTCTCTCTCTCTCTCTCTCTCTAGGATAGGAATTGAACTCCCCATGCAAGCAGTGTTGCTGCTCTGGGTTATATTGCTTAAAAAAAAAAACTTTCTTTAGAAAACTTTAAAAAAAAAAAATCAAACCCCCTCATGGATGAAGTTCTTGCCCTAGTTGTGCTTCTTTGGCCCCCTGCCCCCTCCCAAGCCAGCTTCTGTCCCTGTCCCTGTCCCCAAGTTTGCGTATTTGAGCTGTGCACCCCAGCAGCTACAACATTCCAGTGTTTGAACAGCCACTGATTCTTGCACTCTAGACAACCTAACCAGATTCGTGATCTCACACTCTCCACTGTGCCAGAATCCCGACCCAAATAGGTTCCCATTTCTGCATGAGAAATCTGGTGTTTGGAATGTTCTCTCTCTCTCTTTTTTTTCCCCCTGAATCTTCAAGGCAGGGCTCCCTTCCCCATCCCCCCTTTACACACACGCCCTGCCGTGGCTAGAACCTCAAGGGAAGGGGGGAAACCCCCCCCCCCAGCAGAGAAAACTGGTTTGTGTCGTAAGCTTCTTTTGTGTTTTTGTCTGTCTGTGCGAGACCTGCAGCTGCTGAACTCAGCTTTGCCTTTAATTAAACCATGTTCTCTACAGCCAGTCTCGTGTAGTAACATTTTCTTTGACCCATTATTTCTTGTTAGTGAAACTCCATTGATCTCTTCGTGGCGGAGGATATCTCTGCTAACAAATTAGAAGGGATTTATAGAGTGATGCATACGGCAAGTGAAGTTGAATATGACGAAGCAGGGTCAACAAGGTTGCATCTTCTACGCCGGTGATGGCGAACCTTTTTGCTGTGGTGTGCCGAAAGCGCGAGAGACAGTGCGTGCGCATGCCAGCACCCGCAATGCTATGCCCCCGCTCCCCTGTGCATACGTGCGCAACCCCCACCCCCCACCCCCTTACCTGCACTGGGCATGCATGCGCCTCCCAGCTGATATTTGCCCCGTTTGAGGCCGTTTTTGTCCTCCCGGAGGCTCAAGGGAAGCTTCTGCAGCCTCGGGAGGCCGAAAAACAGGCCTTCCGGAAATACCGGAAGTACCCATTTTCAGCCTGTGGAGGGCCTCTGGAGCCCGGGGGAGACCATTTTCGCCCTCCCGTGAGGCGTGAGGGAAGCCTCGGTAGCCTCGGGAGGCAGAAAACAGGCCCATTTCGGCACTTCTGGTATTTCCGGAAGGCCCGTTTTTCAGCCTTCGGAGGCTTCCTTTGAGCGTCCGAGAGGGCGAAAACGGCCTCAAATGGGACGAAAATCAGCCGGGAGGCGTGCGCATGTGCGGTGCAGGTAAGTTTAGCTGCGGCTCACGTGCCTGCACAAATGGCTCTACCTGCCACCTGTAGCACGCGTGCCATAGGTTCGCTATCACGGCTCTACACCAAGAAAAAGGCTATTCGCAAGCTATGTTATATCATTCCAATTACTGTGTGACAGAAGAGTTGGCAATGAAGAGAGAGACACACACATAGTACTAAGTGGATTTCTAGAGTTAGATAACCAAGATTTGACAGACTAAACTCTTTGGAACTGCCCTACAGGTAAGTTCTTTTATTGAAGAGTTGGTTTTTGTGTTAATAGTAGTTGGGGGGGAAAACCACTCTAGTTTTTTACTAGTTTTATAGAGAAAATAACAAACCTACACCTTTTGAAGAAAATCAAACACTTGAACATTGTGCTGCTTTTCAACAACCTTGCAGGTAATTTTTATTGCAGTAAAACACAATACAGAAGCAATTGAGCGAATGAATTATTATCACTTGCTACAGATGGAATTACCTTCACAGTATGCTTTTCTGTCATTCCAGCCTCATCTAAAATTCAGAGGTTCACTCATAGGTTTGCGCAAGTGCCTTTGAAAGGTTTCTTTCTGCAGTAGAAATTGAAACAGCCATAGCTTCTGCCCATTTTTTCTTCACGGCCCCATTATTTGCTTCTGCTATGCAGTACTTAACATTATTTGCCCTAACAAGGTAGCAAAACATTTTGAGATCTGAAAGATACATTTTTTCCTGTGTTTGGACATAACTGTACTGACAGCAAAGAACGTTGCCAGAGATGGAAACTAAAATACTGCTATTAAATAAGAATCCAGTTGCAAATAGCTGTCCCTTTGTGTAAGGTATAATATAGGAAAGTTATAAAAGGTAAGCATTTAAGCAGAGTACACTGAACACTTAACAGCAAGAAAAAAAATGGCTTCAATTAGCAAAGGCAACCTTCGATATAATGAATGAGTTGCTTTGAAAAAAAAAATGATTTTCTCAATTCTTTGTGGGCTTTCAACTTATCCTTCAGAGTTATTTTCCAGATTTTGGCTGTGTTCAATGAATGCTTTGGGGAAAATGCCCACTTTCCCATTGCACATGCCTTCCAACCAGTCTTCATTCACTGTAAGATAAAATAAGATTGAATCATAAACATAATTGATTAATGGTGAATGGGAAAATGAAATTGAAAGTGGGATGCCTCATGGAGAATTCTGCAAAAAGCTATGTGAGAAGTCTTTGGGATTTGGTAATGTTTTAAATGGCTTAATTATGAAACCCTCAGTAATTGAACTGCTTGAAGTTTTCTGTGAAGGAGAATATGGCTATTAAAGGATGGGAGTATGAGTTTTTAAGATTACAATCAGAAGTTAGAAGCCTAATTTGCTAAACAATACTGGATTTGGTTAAAAAAAATTTTTAATGCATTTGGTGGTAAAGTGAGTGAATGCCTGCTTGACTGCAAAATGCAAATGAACTGGGAAATCTGGAAAAAAAAGTAAATTCTCCAATAGAAGCATACAGTTGTGGGATTATAAGACATTTGATACTGGAGCTGTACAGTGCTTTGAATTGAAAGAGAAAAACAACAACGATTCGGAGCATGAGAAGGTGCTGAGATTGTACCTATTTGCATTTTCTTAAGCAGCTGCATCTTTCCATGGGTTTGCACACTTGCCTAATGCAGATGCAAATGTGTACCCCAGTGTATTCCAGGGCACCTTTTTGCCTTCCAATACAAAGTCTAAGTATGTTTTTGAGCAAAGAAGCTGTAAGGTTCTCAGTTGCCATGCAACTGAGATATCCTGTCCATCCCTTTTAATAGCACTGAGCATGAACTTCACATTGCCACTGAAGGGAGATGAAGAGCTTGAAAAAGGCAAAAGAAATGAGGAAATGCAAGATGCCCAGAGCCAGTATTTCAAGGCAATTAACACTGAGGAAGAGAACTGGTTGGAAAATGGACCTGTAAAGATGCTAAGCCATAAGAAAATAGATCAATACCACAGCACTGTATTTATTTTCCAAGAAAGAAGAGCTGCATCTGAGCTCCAGAAAGAACTTCTGTGCACACTGCTAAAACTTGGAAACTTTCATCACACCAGTATGATCTACTAAGAACACATTCCGAATGAAATTCATTGAACTTGCAAATAAAAATAAAAATGGGTTGAAGTTGAAGTAAATGTGTATACTGCAGCTTCCTGTAGGTGGAGCTATTTAGTTCATTTAATGATTGCTAAGATGAAAAATTGGAATTAAGATGGAGAAACTATAGAAGGAGAAAGATAATGTCTCAAATAAGTTTCCATAGTTTAAATTTACCTGTTGCCAGAACAACAATTGTGTCCCCTTTCTGAAACTCCAGATCTTCTGCCTGAGTGGCTTCGTAAGTATAACACGCTATAACTCGATTTGATTCAGTCTCCGTTAGTATTTTCTGCTGTGCCTCCTCACCGTTTTTCATTCTTAAATTATCTTTGCTGATCTAATGTGAGAAAAAAATACCTTTATCTCTTGCTGCTTTCATAATTAGCAGTTAGATTTTTTTTTCAAAAGTGCCTTCATTATAAGTGCTTGAATTACTGTTACTTCTGTACATATATTAAACTTTTCAAAAACGAAATACAAAACTTACAAGAAAAAAACGAAAAATAAGTAATTAATAGAAGCCCTAATTTCCTATCTTAAAGGATACAGCATTCTTCCAGATGTACCTTTGGTAGGTGCTAAACATCTAATATTCCTAAACATCTTCCATTGCTGGGATGGAGGGAGGGGAGAGAAAAAGTGTAGAAAAATTATACATGGCTTTCAGAATAACTTTTAGAGTCAAAAGGCTTCTGTGTGGTTTAGATGAAATTTGCAGAGATTACTGATCTAATTTTTTTTTTAAAAAAAATGTTCTCAGGGAATTATATGTGATGCTGCCCAGCAAGGTATGTTGCTTTCTAATCGAGTCTGTCTTACCTCATTAGTGGTGCACCACAATGTCAAGCAGTTGTCCTTAGCATGCTCCCATAAGGTGCTCATTCCATCTTCATTCAGAACCTGATCCTTGCCATCTATTGTCTGGTTGCTAAGCAACAGAAGACTTGGTGAGAATCAAAGGCTTCATCCCACTCATTAGGAGCGAAGTGCTGCTGAGTGGTCTGTCTTACCTCAGTGTTGTATCTTCAGGAGAGAGTTCCAGTTTCTTACACACCTTCTCTAAAAGGCTGCTGTAAGACAGGTTGGGACTTACGAGCAGGGCTATTGTGAATTTGTAATGCACTTTGATGATAAAGGATGTTGGAGATGCATCAAACTGTAAGAGAAAATTACAAGATTAGTTCATGATTTCAGTGCATGAAAAAGACATGCTAAAACTCTGCTGTGTGCTTCAGGCATTACAGTGATTAAAACTGGTGAAAATAGCGGATACAGCTGTGGTGCTTTGACCAATATTTTTTAATTCTGCTTTTTGAACAAAATTAAAAGTAAACACAGGCAGCAGTATATTCTTTATTTTTGTATTTGCATGCTGTCCAATAAGCATGTTTTGAGTGGTTTATTAAAACATCAAAAAAATGTGTTATAATGGTGCAAACTATTTCAAGTTCCAAGGACCAAATTCCAATACTGCATTCGAATCAGTGCACCACTAGGGCTGTAAAATGGTTTGTATTGAGTAA